CATCCACCCACAGCGTATATGTGATATATACCCACCCACAACGTATTTGTGACATATATCCACCCACAACGTATATGTGACATATATTCACCCCCTACGTATATGTGATATATATCCACCAACAACGTATATGTGATATATATCCACCCACAACGTACATGTGATATATATCTACCCACAACGTATATGTGATATAAAAACGTATATGTGATATATATCCACCCACAACCTATATGTGACATATATCCACCCACAACGTATATGTGATATATATCCACCCACATCGTATACGTGATATATATTCACCTACAACGTATACTAGTGCACAAGATTGACTTTATGAGCCCTCTGGGGTCGCCCCATCCGAAAAACGCGGCTCTGTATTCGCCTTCAAGCCATCGACCCAGATACGTAGAGGTAAATGTAATATCAAGCAAATTGATGTATGCACATACATGCAGGTACAATAAATATCAAGCAAATACATGCATGTACATACGTACAGATACAGGTAATATGAAGCAATTTTGTATCCATCTATGCACATGCAGACAGATACAAATAATATCAAGCAAATGCATATACAAGTATGCACACACATACAGGTACAAATTATATCAAGCGAATACATGCATGCATATGCATACAGGTAGTAGTTATATCAAGCACATCCATGCAAGCACATACTGTAGGATTTCTCCGTCTGAATTCTCCATCTCCAGGAGATGCGGCAGTTTCCGTGAGTTGAACCGTTTTACGACAGTCATCCGCGCGAATGTCCTGCTCTCTCCATCGCCCCATACACTTGTGGCCGGGCACCTCTCAATCTGTACAGGTACAGACAGCCAACGTATATCAGTCCATAACTACAACAATGTGTAATTTGACTTGTATACCACTTGTATCGGTGAATCCAGACACTAAAACCCTGAATCGAATCAATGCTTACTTCCACTGGTATGTCACCTAATCGACATGTACTCCACCACAATCTGTGGATGCCGTACTTCAGACACTCATAAAAATATACGACAAGCGAACTGAACCCGCCGCGACTGTGAAGACGTTCGTACGCTTATGATATAATTCGTATTATATGGTACTGCAGTATGGTCTAGATATCTCAAAGCAGTTGACGCCATGGGTCTAGCTGTCCCGCTTCACTGTAGACAAGACTCAGGTACACCAATTCACACTCTCGGACAACATGTACGTATACGTTTACCGTTTTGTTTTAGGCTAGGACTGAAACCCTAAAAACCCTGGAACCAGCGATACACGGCTGTAAGAGCTGCATAGCACACACAGGCGACAGATACCATAGATGTGAAATGACACTTACGCAATATACAATATAGCCCAACAAACAACACATACAACGCATACAACTAAAACAAACATCACATACATCTATAACAAACATCACATACATCTATAACAAAGATCACATACATCTATCACAAACATCACAAATAACTATAACAAGCATCACATACATCTGTAACAAATATCACATACAACTATAGAAAACATGACATAAATCTATACCAACATCACATACATCTACACCAACATTACATACATCTATCACAAACATCACATACATCTAAAACAAACATCACATACATCGAAAACAAACATCACATACATCGAAAACAAACATCACATACAACTATCACAAACATCACAAATAACTACAACAAATATACCATACATCTATTCAAACATCACATACATCGAGGTCGGCCGGCAGCTCCAGTTTTACTAAGTCCTGCTTCTGCAACCAATGACTCAGGGCATTCCATTCTTTCTGTGTGAGCACCAGAACGGACAGAATTATCAACGTGTTAGCAGGTTTTGTCATGATTGGGTATCCCACTAACATAACATAAATACACATATACATATACATATACAGGTACATATACATATGCACATATATAATCATACATACATATATACAGGTACGTACACATATGCACATATATAAACATGCGTACATATATATGCTGGAATACCTCACGTACTTTCCAAATACTTCTGTGTGTCACTGCATGTATTCAATATCTAATTCTCGTTTTATACGAATCTTCGAAAACGTTCCTTCCGTGTACCACAGGCCGACATATACTTTCCCTCCCAGGCCAGTTCATCTGAAATCACACCAGATTCTAGATCCACATTCGCCACGAACGACCCAAATAATTCACCCACGCAACACACCAGCCCACACTTGCTACTGAACACGCCAGGTGGTCATCATACCTGATTTGAATCCAAATCTCCAAAATCGTCCCGAATATCGATGTCGCCAATTGGTACGGCACCATCCTTCCCTCCCATTGACCGATGTGACGAATGCTGAAGAACACTCTTTAGTCCATGAACAAGCGTTGTACTGCATGACCCAACAAACCACCGCCAGGAATAGGTTAGAGTAACCGGCCTGTTGTCAGTATTTGCGAATTACATATATATATATATATATATATGTGTGTGTGTGTGTGTGAGTGTGTGAGTGTGAGTGTGAGTGTGAGTGTGAGTGTG